GCTCTCTCTCTCTCTCTCTCTCTCTCTCGCTTTCTCTCTCTTTCTCTCTCTTCCCCCTTATCTCTCTATCTCTCCTCTCCCCATACCTCTCTCATCATCTCCCCTCACCTCTTTTCCTCTCCCCTCTGCCTTTACCTCCCCCTCTCTCTACCTCTCCCCTCTCTCTCAACCCATTCTCCCCCTTTACCTCTCTCCCCCTCTCCCCCTCTCTCCTCTCCCCCTCTCCCCCTCTCTCGTTACTAGTCCCTCTATTCGCGCTGCCGCAAGCGTAGACAGCGATAACACGTACAGTGCGACATGAACGGTGGCGGCCGCAGCATCGTTGCATCTTTGTGCGGGAACTTCGCCGCGGGACGGAAGCCACGCGCTGCACCCGGATTGATGCTCAGCATCTCTGCTCCTCCTCCTGCGGATGCTGCCGCCGTCGCCGCGGCGCCGCACGTCGGCAGCAACGGTACGGCGGTGCTCAGGTCGTTAGCGGACGGAGGAAGCTGCATGAGCTGTGCACGGATGTCCTCTGGGAGCTCGTGCCTGTGTGCGCGGCGAGAAACAGAAGCACACACGTCAACGTCGACGTCGCGATTGTCGGTTGTGCACAGAGAGAGAGCTGATGTCTTTATTGCAAAGGAGATTTGTATACATATACAGCCACGCACCAACGCACGCACGCACGCACGCACGCACGGACCATGGACCTGTGTAACCACGCATGCAAGAAAGCACACATTCATGCACGCACGCGCGCACCCTCGCCCGCGCACGCACACACACGCACACACGCACGCACGCACATACATGCACCCACACACACACACACGCACGCACGCACACACATGCACCCACACACACACACAAACGCATGCACACACACTTATACAAGGATCTCTGCCAGCAAGTTAGGGTCACAAACTCTCGATAATTCTCATATCAGATACCTGCCAAATTTTAAATAATCGAAAAACGAACTCAACGGAAGTGATTTGGAAGGATGAATCTGCTGAAAAACCACGCGACCGCGCCACGCTCCCCCCTGTCCTGCCCTGCACCACGCTCACCCCTGTCCTGCCCTACACAGTCGGTAAAACGCACTGAATATAGTAACATTGAGAACGTCCCGGTTTCTCTGCAGCGAGTTTATATTCATAAGAGTTCACGTTCGCGGAGTTTCTCCATAGAGCGTTGATATTCATAAGAATTTATATTTGCGGAGATGATGTTAAGGAAAGTCGAAAAGTTGTTGAATCTGTCAACTTAATGAGTGAAAGTCGATAGCGTCCCAGCTTTACATGTAAGAATTGTCCAGAATTATGTGTAAGAATTGTATGCAATTACACGTGAAAAATGTACACAATTAGATGTAAGAATTGTGTACAATTAGATGTAAGAATTGTGTACAATTAGATGTAAGAATTGTGTGTAATTACACGTCAGAACTGTGCAGAAGTACATGTAAGAACTGTACAGATTTACATGTAGTAACATTGCACAGTCACGTTGACGATTTCTGAACAACTTCGTGACCGCCATGACACCTACCACCAAGATGCGACTCAGGTGGTGTCAGCAGACTCCCACGCCGCGATCTGATTGGCTGCAGCTTGCGTTGGACATCTTCAGACACCTCGTGTGAAGCCTTCGTCGCCGCCAGTGTGTGCCGCTTTGTCTTTCCTCGTGTTTTCAAATATCTAAAAGGAACATGTTACAAACACATAAATTTACTCCTTATACATATACACACATATGCAAATATACATACATACATATATAGTGGCAAGGGGTAAATGTATTTGCACCAAAATTACATGTTCCTTTCATTGCGGAGGCACGCGCAGATGTGTATTATGTATATCATTATTTATGGAGAAATATCTGCAGGTAGGTCCCATTTTACGATGGTCCGTTTTACGACTTTTCACATTAACAACCTTTTTAAAATTACCTAAAAAATGAAAATAACAAAAAAATCGCAACTCAATAACACATCGCAGCAATGCCTGAGTCCAAACACGCAATATGCGCTTCTTTTGTTTTTCGTGGTGCACTATGGGCGGAATGATAGCATTTAATTGTACTATATTTGGTCTTGTTTTACAACTTTTAATTTTACCACCCTGTTTTACTGGAACGCAACCCTGTCGTAAAACGGGACCTACCTGTACAAGTATTTAACTTCGATATGGGGCCATCAAAGATACATTACATCACCCATGTTAATGTTTGCATAAAAGTACACAGGATTATAGAGGCCATCTGCCTCAGACAATTCACAGCTTATCGGCCAAGTATATAAAACATCCCGTATATTAGCGAACATGGCGGTTGCCACAGATACGTACAAGGCAGCAGCCTCCTGGTCTGGACCTCCGTCGCTCTCCTGTCCCTGGCTGCTGTCTTCGTCCAGGCCCTGCAGTGGCGCTCCCATGCTGAGCGTGCCTACAGAGGGCGCTGACAGCTTCATCACGATTCCGCCCGGAGACACCTGTGAACGGTAATTATATATATATATATATATCAGGAGTAAATAAGCACAAATTTGTATGTGTGAGTGTGTATATATTTATATTACATATTAAATTTTATAAATATAATTAAAAAAATAATATTATTTTTTTTAAAACACCGAAAAAATAATTAATAAAAAATAAAAAAATAAAAAAATAATATAATAAAAAATTAAAAAACACCGCACAGACTGACACAAATTCTGTCGGTTGACCGACGGGACGGCAGAGATCTTCGCGTATATAGATGGTGCCGCTGCTGCTGTTGCCGTGGTTACCTGTATCTCTGAGCTGATGGATCGGCTGCCCTGTCTCTGCAGAAGCTGCCTGTGCAGCTGCTGCGCGAACAGATGTACGTGCGCGCCGCCGTCCGACGCCCGCCGTCCCATAGGGTTCGCGTTGACCGCATCTGTGGAGATTGAGGGCCTCGTGTTAACACAGAGAGTTCAAAACTTCTCTCTCTCGCTCTCTCTTTCTATGTCTCTCTCTCTCTCCCTCGCACCATGCCGCGCTGTCTCTCTCCCTCGCGCTCTCTCTTTCTGTCTCTCTCTCTCTCTCTATTGCTCTCATACTCTCTCTCCCCCTCTCTCTTGCTTTTTCTCGCTCTCGCTCTCTCACTCTCTCTCTTGCTCTCTATTTCTCTCTCTCTCTCTCTCTCTCTCTCGCCCCCCCTGACTCTCGCTGGACTCTCTCTCTCTCTCTCTCTCTCTCTCTCTCTTCTCTCTGCATGACTCTCGCTCACTCTCCTCTGTCTCCTCTCCTCAGTCTCGTCTCTCTCTCTCTCTCTCTCTTGCTTTCTCTCTCCCTCCCTCTTGCTCTTTCTCGCTCTCTGTCTCTTTCTTTCTCGCTCTCGCTCTTGCTCTCTTTCTCTCTGACTTCAAGTTCAAAACTTCTCTCTCTCTCTCTCTCTCTTTCTATGTCTCTCTCTCTCTTTCTATGACTCTCTCTCTCTCGTTCTGGCTCTCGATCCTCGTCTCTGTCTCTCTCTCGAATTTCTCTCTCTTTCTCTCTGTCTTCCCCCTTAATCTCTCATCTCTCGTCTCCCATACCTCTCTCATCATCTCCCCTCACCTCTTTCTCTCCCCTCTGCCTTTACCGTCCGCCTCCTTCTACCTCTCTCCCTCTCTCTCACGCCATTCTCCACCCTTACCTCTCCCCCTCTCCCCTTCTCGTTACTGTCCCTCTATTTTGCGCGCTGCCGCCCCCCCCCCCCCCCAAGCGTAGACAGCACTGTGACACGTTACGTGCGACATGAACGGTGGGCGGCGCAGCATCTGGTTGCATCTTTGTGCGGGAGACTTTTCGGCCGCGG